GGGGGGGGGGGGGGGGGTTGAAGAGAGTTATGAAATGTTCTCGAAATTTAGTATTAAAATTAAATTAGATTTTGAATAATATCGAAACATAAATTTTTTTAGGTGAGAATTGAATTGATGAAAACTAATCGGAAAAAAAGATATTGCAGATGATAGAAATATGGAAATCGCCTACATCCACCTTTCCTGCCTCATTTTTATTTCACATCATTAATGAAGAAAGCTTGATATTTGCCACAAGAAATATGTACAACCGAGGGCATGAATAAATATGATTAAACTAAATTTAAAAGGTTAGATCTATCATGCATGGTAGAAAAGAAAGAGCTTTGTTAACTAAGGGCGTGGTTTTAATGTTTTATTAAACAAAATATGAATCGCATGGAAAAATTTTAAAAAAGCGCGAAACCCCGAAATAGTTTTTGACATCTTGATACCAGAAAGTTGACAGACGCACAAAAACCTAATGGATGAAATTAAAAGTAATTTTTGAGGGCTATCGATTGAAAACAAGATTTAGGACAGCTTTCTCAAGATGACAGGGATACAGAACTCAGGGGTCGTATCCTACATTTTTCTCGTTAAAACACGAAACAACACAAACGACGACATTATTACACACTACTGGATCCAGTTTTCAATTCGTTAAATTTTTTACTTGATTCATTATGTAACATAAAATATTGAATATTGCATTTTGCAATCTTATTAAAATGATGATAAAATTATGACAGCAGATTGCGACGTCTGGTACTTATTTGAGAAAAAACAATAAAATAAGCTATAGAAAGTAGGTAAAAACTGCAGTATATTGAACACAATGAATTTCGGTTTCATAAGAGTACAAACTTTTGAATAATTGCACTTATGCAGAGAAATCATGGACATACATACATATATTAAAAATATGCATTTTTAATATTCATAGAAACAAAACCCTGACAGCACCTGTTCCATGTTGAACTTAAGAATCCTTCAAAAGCCGATTTAATAGAATTTTAATATCGATTGATTTACTTTAATGTAAAAACCGGTTCTAAATTTTCTGGTCGGGAGGTATAAACTGGTTCTAAATCATCTGGCAGGATGGTATAAACCGGTTCTAAATCATCTGGCAGGGAGGTATAAACTGGTTCTAATTTACATAGTATGGAGGTATAAACCGGTTCTAAAATAACTGGTAAGGAGGTGCAAAGCTGTTCTAAATGATCTGGTAGGAAGGTATATAAACCGTTTCTGAATGATCTGGTAGGGAGGTGTAAACCGGTTCTAAATTACCTGGTAGGGAGGTATAAGCCGGTTCTGAAACTGCCGAATATATGAAGAGTAGCTGCTGGCCAGATCTTCTGTATACACTCCTCTATACGGTGAACCACATCCAGTCTCATATAGTGCTCCTCAGGAGTAGGCATTATCCATTGGTAGAAATCATCTATCTCTTGGTGCAGCCTATAGTTAAACAGTATATTCAATCAGTGAATTTTAATCAAACATTTAATTAATTAAGCAGTGAACAAAACTAGGATCTAGTCCAAGTAGTCCAAATTTTATGTATACAATTTTTTTTCTGTCAAAGTGTTGAAAGAGGATTGAGCAAATAGAATAGAATATATATTAAGAGTGGAATTTAATAGAAAAAAGTGTAAAACGGCCATTTTGTTGGTACTTCACACATTTGTGCTATATAACCTTTAGGGCCCTGGAACATCGTTTTATAGAAAATCTAAAATTAATATTAAAAGAAAACCAAATTATGAAATAGGCTGGTTTCATATTGACCAATGATCATTTCACATAGACTCTATGCCTTTCACTTTACAAACGATTATTTTGTATTTTGATTTTATAACTATAAATCAAATGATGTTTTTAATTTACTTAATTCATTTTAAAAGTATATTTAACAGCTTTAAAAAATTCGAAATTGAAATGGATAGTCTAGGTAACATACTGTATTAATTTACTCTACTGCATATAATTTGTGAACATTTACATGATTTGTACACTTTGAACTCCTTTTCAGGCTGAAAGGGACTGACAAAATTCATACCGAGGGATTGTCTAAATTCCACTCTATTGTATATTCTATTCTCTTTGGTATTGAGTTATTGCAACAAACTATTCCCTACATATTTGTGAACAATTTTGTTAGATCCAAATGTTATCATTGGATTAACGAATTCAAACAGAGTTCAGAGAAACCAGACAGAACCAAAACTAGATTTGAAATATGCATAGACGAAAAACTGCATTGCATACCAAAAGGTTTGCACGAGTTGTTAGAGATCATTTATAAAACAGTTCAAAATTATTATTAGATGCATCGTATAAAGATTCAAAGAAAATTATGATACTCAAGTTTTGAAAACGGTTAGTCAATAATAAAGATGATTTCTTTTTAATGTGAAATACTTTACTGTCTCTGTGCACATTGATGATTAATACAAATCAAACTTTTATTAAGTTCTGATGTGCAAGTCATCGGTTATCAATATGTTTATATTTATTATTGTTATCTGAACAAAATTATAAAAAAAGATTAATTACATAATTAGAAATTTGGAAGATGATAAAGAAACCGTAGCAACATTACTAAATTTATCTTGAAATGGAATAGCCAAGGCTGGGCTTAAACACAGTAGTGAGAGAATAAAATAAAGTTTAAGTTAACTAACTTTTTTTATGAAAAAAATGCAATCGACATTTAGGATAGATGAATCTAGATCATCAAGTTCAAAAGTTTAACGTATTTTACCCTTTTTTAGGAATTAATTTCATACGTGTTCAAAATTCATATACGTTGCCCCCCCCCTTAGGATCCCTTTAATTTTGATGCGGATCCGGATCCTGGATCCGCACTGGAAAAAATGGATCCGGATCCAAATTCGGATCCAGGTATTTTTTAGATTTACTACATTTTTTTTAACAAAAAATAATTTTATCATTTTTTATTTAATTTTTTAACGCTAATTTTTATCAATGAACTTGATGAACCATTCAGAAATGAGGAAATTTTTATAATCTCTCTTTTTTTAAAAGTTAAGATGTGCAGTTTTTGCTTGTTATTTTACCCCTTCGATCCGGATCCAGGAAGCCAAAATCTTGCGGATCCGGATCCTAAGCACTGAATTTTTGATTTTGTTGGTGTAATATATTGGTTACAAAAATGATTCAATCCCAAATTTAGATACTATGAATTTTCCGAATATTGTTTAAGAAATAATTTTGAGCTAAAATTAACATAAAATTTATTCTCTATTATAGTTTCAATTTAACCAATTAATAAAAAACGTCGAAAATAAAAAAAAATACAGATTATTAGGTTTTTATTTTAATTTAAAGAATATATATTACACATCTTAACATTTCTAAATATAATCCCGATAATAATATATTATAATTGAGGGAAAAGGTCTTGATCTGAAGATAACAGAAATATTGCCAACATTAAGAACTTTATTTGAGGACGAGAAAGAACGGAATAAAAACAATTTTAAAAATACAGAAGGAGTACTTACCCGATAATGCCCTTGGTGTAGGGATAGACAGGGTCTGCCCAACGGGGCAAACCCTGTATTGGGGGCGAATCACTTCGTGTTGTTGTGTGCCCGTTGGAGGATGAAGACTCTCTCTTCCTTTTTGTTCTGTTGTAATGATTACTAGGATACTGGTGTCTGTAGGGTCGACTCTGAACCCCTCTGAGATGGTTTCGTCCATCCAGAGGTATATAGGAGGGAGCAGGAAGAGTTTTTAAGGACCCAGACTCCTGCTGCATAATTATCGTCTGGGTCAGTCCTGAAACTAAAGAGTAGTGATAAAACAATTTAATCTTATAAAAAAATAATTTGAACGATATAACAGGTGTCATAGATATAATTTTAATCAAATGTGATAATTAAAAGAACAATACTAAAAAATGCGTCAAATATATTCTAACTATAGAAGTGTAATAAATGAATTAGTATGCAAATTGTAATGTCTTAGTCCAAACATTATTTATATCTAACTTGGCTGGAATCTTTAGAAGCTGAGTCTACAATTTGTAAAAAGACATGTGTTAAGTAGGATTTCGGGTCTGTCCTAGTGAACGATTTTTGGAC